TCTGTGAAAGATCAGCAGTAAAAATTATGTCAGAAAAAAATTTAAAGACACTTTTGAACAAAAAGGTCCATACTCCTGAGTCTCAAAGTTTTGTGTTGCGCTCAACTGATGGGACATTTGACTATTTATGATCATTTGGACACTTTATGTACCACAGCTCATGATGTTGCTACACTTATCCTGACTCCAGTGTTTCTCCGTCTCTTCCTCCCTTCACTATCCTTCTCTTCATAAGTTTCAAAACTATTAGTTCTTAAGTAGTTTAAATAAAAACATCTGTTTGGAATGATGTATAAAATCTTGTTCGACTAAGAAAAATGCTGTCCAGCTGAACTTTAATATCCTTTCACAAGTAAAATACTGATTAAACAAAACTTCAACAAAGCCCTAATATTATCAAAAGGACAGCTAATAAGCCTAAGTCAGTCAACAAGTTTTCTGACCTGCAGGTAAGTGTAATTAAAGGATATCACTGAGTTGCCCAAAGTAGGAACTATGAAAAAATAAAAGCAAACCCTCAGGTTTTGGGGCCAAGGTCCCAGAGGGAGAACTAGGAAGACAAGAATTTTCTAAGGTGTTTGAACATGTGTAGGAAGGAATCTAACTCAAAAGACATAAAGAACTGTTGGAGAAAATGTGAAGGACAAAATATTTTGTTCTTTCATAAAACCAATTAAAAATTTCCTTATCTCATTTTATAAAATAAATAATGTACTCATGAAAAAAGTTTTTGAAGTCAGTATTTTCTCAGTTTTGATATTTCTTTCTACACTTCTCCTGAAGCTATGATACATAAAAATCTATCTTGCAACAAATTTTAAGCCCACAAAAGTAGTTAACTGTATCTTTAAGGTTGCATTTTTAATACATCTTTTGGGGAGCACATTCTATTTTTTTTAATGAATAGTATTACTATTGAAAGATGGTAAATTTACAGACATAATTCTTTTTTCTACTGTAAAGTTGATAATGTAAGTTCAGGTTTTCAAACCTAGTCTCCCAGCCAGGACTTGGTCCCAGGCTGCAGCGGCAGCACTGAGTCCCAGCCACTAGACCACAGGGTTGGTGTCTCACGAAGTCGCAGCAGGAACTTCACTGACTCTCAGACAAACAAGTGAAAAGAGGCATATTTGTTTAGAGAAATAGATATAAGAAAAAGTTTATTAAGGAGAAAAAGAACAGAAATAAAGTGGGACTCCTAGGCTGATGAGTCAGGCCATGGAGGGACAAGGAAGCTGCTGTGGAGTCGTGCCTCAGGGAATATACACCTTCTTTCCCTAATTATTCTAAAGCCCCATCAGTCTTTGTGATTTGTTAGTTCTCTGTGGTCCCACTCACTCTGTCTTAATGTCCCTGAAATTTGTTGCCCTTATCTCTGGAGCTTTCCTTTTTTTTTGGAGGCTTTTTCCTATTCTATTCTGACCCTAGAAGCTGTCCATTTGCCCTATAACTCAAAATCATAATGGTAATTCTATAAGTTCTGCTTCTATTGTTATATATTTTTTCAATTTAAAAACATGATTAAGCATTATACTCAGAATTTATTTTGGAAAAAAAAAAGCGAGTAGAAAAATATGACCACCAAGTTATCACATACACAAATAAATGCTTTGGTCAATTAAGAATTAAATTTTGATCACTAAATATATTTGATTAAGTAAACATACTTGAAACTTGCCACATTAAAGGTGTTGAGGTAGGTGCTATATAAATATACAGGTGAATGAAGTAATCCTGTCTGAGAGGAGCATAAATTCTCTTGAGAATTAAGACATATAAATATAGTTGAAGTAATTCAAACAGTGCTAAGTGGATAATTAATATAAACCATACAGTGTATATCTCCATATTTCTCAATACATGTCAGGTTCTTAGAAAGCAGAGACTGCATATGAATTGATATGACAGTAGGCACCCCACCAAAATAGTGAATAAATGCATATCAAATAAAACAATTATCATAATATTAACATATTGAGCGATCTCAACAAATCAAAACGAAACAAAACATCCAGAATAAGATTTTGTAAATAAAAACTTTAGGCTATAACTATGTAATTACTTTTAACTCTAAGGATACATTTTTTATATATATACAAAATTTTATTGTTTTACCACTGATTCATATTTTCAGGATCAAAATGACGTTGGGCCAAGAGGTCAAACACAGAGAGACTAACCATCTGGATCAATATGATAATCGTCAGGAAATGTTTTGCCTCATAGGGAGGTCTTAGGGCTACAGACCTGTGACAAGTTGACATGTGGTTTATGTAAAGTTAGAGCTCTCTATAACTTGGGGGCACTGAGGGTTGCCATGGGGAAAGGGAAGTTGTTCCAAAGGACAGAGGGCTGATTGAGGGATTGACTGTGCAAAAGTATCTTGGAGTCCCAGAAAAAGATTGTTGCAGTGAATCCTAAAAAAGCCTCTAATAAAGAGTAAAGAAGGTATCCTAGCCTGTGTGGCAGTATGTCAAGGAATGTACAGATCGGAGTTAAGATATAATGTGCCAACACCAGCTTCTTTTTTACTTACATTACAATTCAAAAATTTATGTGGGATGGAGTAAGACTAGATTCTTTGCTTTCAAGATGCTGTTATTACTTAGGATCTTTGTGTCCATATGGTGGAAACATTAGAGCACTAGGGGGAAAGGTGAGAGTTTGGATCTTTGAATTGTTTGCTGCTCTCAACTGGAAGCTTTGTTGGGGACTTTTGGCAGCTAAATTCTTTTCAGGCCAAACTGTGTAAGGGACTCATCTTAAAGTTCATATGAAAGAGCAAAGAGCCAAGAACAGTTAAGGCGGTTTTAGGGAAAAATCATCTGATAGTGGGACTGGTGAAATGTTTATGTACATCGAGTTGAGTACATGGGTTTTCATTGTGTTATCTATACTTTCCTGTGTCTGAAATATTTCACAATTAAAATTTAAAACTATTAGAGCGAAATAAAAGAGAATAGGGTGTGATCTCAGCTTGAGAAGACTCTTGCAAACAAAAAACAAAAAGTTTAAAACACTACAAAAATTTTAAATCAAGTAAGAATCCTTAAAATATAGAGCTTTTGCTTATCAAAAAACACCATGAAAAGTTGACAATTTATAAACTGAGAGAAGTTATTTGCAACTCATAAAATTGACAAGACAGAAGTATTTAAACTTTAAAAATGAAGATTATCACATAATGGAATACTATTTTTAAAACGATGAAATGCTGCCACTTGCAACAACATGGATGGACACAGAGGGAATTATACTTAATGAGATAAGCCAGACAGGAAAAGACAAACACTGTATGATATCACTCATATGTGGTATACAGAGAAGATAAACAATTGAACTAAATAAAATAAAAACAAAAATAAACTTTTGGACAATAAGACAAATTTATATTTACTAAAAGGGAAGGTCGAGGTGGCTGGTTAAGTCAAGACAAAGGGGACATGATGATTTTCAGCAGTAAATAACTGAAACTTATATAATGTTAAAATGGGAAGTTCCGTTAATAGAGAAATATCTTGGGCCTCCCCAGTGGCGCAGCAGTTAAGCGCTGGGTTGTGAAGCTGCCCTCAGCCTCTGCAGTGCCGGTTCAATCCCCGGCTGCTCCCCAGCCACTGGAGGAGGGTCCCCCATGGCGCGCAGACCTCTTCTGCCACCCGCTGCTTCCCTCAGCCGTGTACTTCGGTCCTTCTGCCTGCTCTGCTCCCGGCTCTGGCTCTGGTGAATTCTCTCACCCTCCCGCGCTTCTGACTTTACCCAGTGCTTGTTTAAATAAATAAATAAATAAATCTTAAAAAAAAAAAAATAGAGAAATATCTGGCAATTATTTTTTAAAAGCAAACAAGTCAATAAAAAAAGCCTAAATTAAGAATAGACATTTTGTAGAAACCCAAATAGCCACTAAGCATATATAAAAATGCATTTCCCCACTGCAAGGGTGGAAATGCAAGTTAAAAGAACCTACCAAGCAAAAATTTAAAACTCTAACAAGAGCAGGTGTTATAAATAATGAGTCTGCTTAAACCATTTAAAAAGCATCTCAAATCCTGTATATGTAGTGAAAAAAGAAATTAAAGGGAGAAATTATGATTCAGTGCTTAAAATACAACACCAAGATAACTATATTCTTAAAGGATCATAAAATACAACTATTTTCAGGAAAAGCAAAGAAATTAATAAAATTTATCATAATGGTTATTTCTGGGCAAGAGAGAAAGAGATGCTTTTGGAGAGGCCTTTCTAGAAGCCTTCAAAAATATCATTGTTTTTCTGTACCTTCTCCCCTCTGGCGGGGTACTTGGGTATTCTTTGTGATGTGTACATAAAGGAAACATTCAGGGCCTCCCTGGTGGTGCAAGTGATAAGATGCAACCTATGAAGTAATCCGCAGTCACTACAGCACGAGTTCAATTCCTGGCCAGGGAGCTACGCACATGGTGCTGCAGACCTCTCCTGGCTCATCCTCTGCTCCCCTCAGCAGTGTATTTCAGTAGATCTGCCTGTTTTGTTCCTGTAGTGGCCAGAATGGGCCACTGAGCAGGTTTTCTGATCCAGCAAACCGGGTAAAGGAGGAGTCCTGAAGCCATAGTAAAGGAGGAGTCCTGAAGCCATAATATAACTACCAGTATATTCGAGGTAAAAGCAACTTCTGAGCGCTTAATAGCAAAAACAGCTGTCCTGGATCGGGGGAAATTATAAAATTGGTTTCTAAGAGAGGAGCAGGTCACTTCTGGCTGGGAAAAATGGGATGAGAGCGCAGCAACCACTCCACTCTGCCCCTTTTCACCACTTGTTGGTGACTTGGTGAAGGCCACGCCCCTTCCAATTCACACAGACGGGAGCCCCGCGCCCTCAGGCCCCGCCCTAGGCCCCGCCCCCATCCTGCGTCTCGCCCTCAGGCCCCTCCCCCAACTCCGCCCCCAGCCCGCCAAGCGCCCTCAGGCCCCGCCTCCAGGGCTCCCGGAATGCTCCGCGTCAGCCTTTTTAGAAGGCGGGGCCGGCCGGGCTGGCCTGTGCGGGTCAGCGCCCGCCCTCCTCGGATCGCCGATGCTCTGGCGGCGGAATTTCTGCTGGTGGCGGGGATCCGGGACCCTGGTGAGTAGTTGCAGGTCTCTGGGTTCCAAAGTCGCGACTACGGGAGCACGGGGTCCCCCTCTCGCCTGCGCGCCCTCTCGCCCGCCCTTCTGCTCCCGCTGTCGTGCCGGGGCCCTGTGACTCCTGGTCGCTGCGGAGGCGGGAGTCGGGGAGCGGCGGTCCCCGCGTCCCCTGGCACCCCTTCTGCGGCTCTTTTATTATTATTCTCTGTTGTTTTTATTGCCTTTTACCGTTTCGTGCCGACCCCGCTGGGCTCCTCTCCTCTCCAGAGCGGAACCTCCAGGTGTCCAGGTGTCCCTTTCACTCCCCAGCAGGTCAGCAGTTCTGGGGCTCGCGAGCTTCCCTCGCCTCGGCCTGGCGTCCCCCACACTGGGCCTTGCGCCCCAGGGGAGAATGGAGGAGTCGGGGCCCCACGGGCTTGGAGTCTAGTGGGAAGTGTGTTTTGTGGTCCCCTGGCGCCCAAAGAGGCGGAGTTGGTGGTGGAAGAGGTGGGGAGGGAGAACGCAGCATTTGCTGTTAGCCACGTGATGGGTATTAAGCTCAGAATTTAATTTAATTTGAGCTTGACTTGGGCTACAGTTTATGGAGTAGGTAACATTGTTTTCCAGATCCGTGATCTTTAAAGGAAAACGTGGCCGCGTGTCAGTTGTTTGTTGTGCTCTCTAAACTTTAATGTGTGGTTGGAAGGTGAAATTGCAAGAAAGCAAGGGCTTGAGTTCTAGAGCCATACTTGGTCTGCTGCTTGTTCATTGTTTAACCTTCTATTTGTTAGCCATTTGCTGGCACGAAAATGCTGGAAAACGTCTAACTTCTCTGTACTTCGGTTCCATCAGCTGTAAAATGGTGTTAAGACGTTCTGCTTCACAGGTGGTTGTGAGGATTGAAATGGAAGGATTTTTTTTGCTTAATTGAATTTGTTAACCCAGGTGTACAAGTGTTTACACTAAAATTGACCTGGTTAGGGAAACCTTAATACAGAAAGTGATTTTGAAAGTCCCAGGTGTGTTTTCTAAGGTGGTTTATCTTCAGTGGCTTCTTAGAAAATTAGGAGAAAACATTAGACGTTCTATGTTTTCAGAATACTGAAGTTAGAGGGTAAAATCCTGACTTTTTCTGAGTAATAGGGTAACAATACTTTTTGAATTAATGACTCCTATCCCATTGCTTCCGGATCGCTCAGCTCTTGTCTGAGAGATTAAGTCAAGTATATACAGCTGATGACTTACAATGATGTCCACCTGAAAACTAGATGTTACAAGTCAATGTTACTTCAATTAAAAAAAAAAAAGCACAAAACAGAAACCATAGAGTTCAAAAGTGTCCATTATATATAACTTCTGTGTATTTTAGTAATGTAAACTACCCTCTGAAGACTTACAAATTTTTGTAAGTCAGGGCTTGAGTAGGTTTCTGTTTTGTAACCTGACATCTGCAGTTGGAATTTTTTTTCTTTTAGATCACTTCTGAAACCTCTTCTTCCGCTCATTTTTTTTTTTCCCCGAGATTATTAGACCTGTTAGGTATCTCAGTGATCATTGTGACTTACTATATTGGACATAATTTTTATTAAAAGGACTTTTAAATTGAGTCTCTACATATACATATAAACACATGACTCTTCCTATATAACATGTTCCATATAGATTATAAACATGTTAATCAGTAGAATCTGTTCATAGATATATTCCCTAAAATATAACAGTGTCAAAAACAAAAGGATCAGGAATTAAATTGTTTAACCTGAAAACTTAATGGTCACTGTGTCTAAGACATAATTGGGTTATAATAAAGTATAAAGATAAGGATTGCATTTCTGGACCTTAAGAAACAGTCTAGTAGAGGATATAATGCATGCAAATAAATAGCGTATTTTGATACATAAAGAAATGCCAATTTTAAAAGTAGGAAATAGGACAATAGAATATTTAAAAAAAATAAGTACTTATAACTTTGGTGTCATTAGGAAAGGCAACCTTTCAGTTTTGTTTTGAGGAATTAGTAATCCATAAAAAATAGACATTTATAAGGAATGAACTGTCGATTATTAATTGATTACTAGACATCCATAATAACCATAAATAATTGCATATTTATTCAATATTACACTAAGCCAGAAATAGTTCTGGGAATATTATAACTCATTTCATCCTCAAAAAAATATTATGAGTAAGGTAATAACATACCTATGAGAAAAGGAGGGAAAAATCAGGTTACTGTATGGGTGAAATAGCTAAAAAAAAAAGCAACAGCTAGAATTTAAACTCACGTATTTGAATTATAAAGCCTATACTTATAATAATAAAAAAATCAAAACTTATTTAGGTTGAGATGACTTATGGTAAGTGAGATATGGAGGCTGGAATAGCGCTCCAGTGGATTATCTATAATGATCAACATTTTTCAATTGAATTACTTAAATGATTATGATAAAAAAGAGGGACCAGCTTAAGTTATATTTACAGGTAAAATGGGAAAAAAGGTGACTTACACAAATGGATATTTTGTGTTTTGTTTTCATGCATAAATCAGGAAAATTAAATGTAGTTTCAGAACTATTTTTTTCCTCTATCACTTTTGTTTTTAGATCCAATTAGTATTGTTTGATTTAAATATACATTTACATTTTCATGTACACTATTTTTCATGAGTCACAGAACAACTTTATCAGTAAACATGTCCTTTTTAAAGAAGACATTACATGAATTTACTCAGGGTCATAGAACTAGTTCATCATGGCTGATTTGAACTTTTATCATCGGATTCCAAAATCAATATTCCTTTCATTATATATCCTGGCTCTTCCATGCGTTTCACCTTTCAACTGGTCAGCATTTCAAAAGTCAGTCTTACTAATTTATTTTAATTTATTGTTGTTTTTTTTTTTTAAGATTTATTTATTTATACAAGCACTGGGTACATGGGAGGGTGAGAGAATTCACCAGAATGGGAAACAGAACAGGCAGAAGGATTGAAGGACACTGCTGAGGGGAGCAGTGGGCGGCAGGAGAGGTCTGTGCGCCCTGTGGGACCCTTGCCTGGTGGCCGGTGATCTAACCCGCGCTGAAGAGGCTGTGGGCAGCTTCGCAGCTCAGCGCTCAGCCGCTGCGCCACCGGGGAGGCCCAGTCTTACTAATTTCTGAAACCAGTAAATATTTCTCCTATACTCTGATTCATCAATATTCATATCATTGATGATCAAATACCTCCCCCAAACAAATTTTTCTTCTTAGGAAGTATTGTTCTGATTTTAGTAAACTAAGTAAGAGCGTATCACAGTATTTTCTCACACAGAAGCAATCATACGTATTTTTATTTTCTAATTGTATTTTTAATGTAATTGACATCATATCCATAAATATCTTTTCTACTCCATGGCTTATCAAACCTCACTTTCTTTAAGCAAAGGAAGAATTTGATTATGTACCGATAATTTGGAAATTTTAGAACAGGTAATAAAAGAACAAAATGATTATGTCATCCTTTGTACCTGTCCACAGGACTTCTGTATTCCATACATGGGATTCACACTCAGGAATTGTGCAGTGCAGAGTATGTGTGAGTTGGCCCTTTGCAGAAATAAGCAGATATTATTAGGTTAATAGCTCATGTACTTCAGTTTGTTGGTGGTTACCTTTTTTTGTTTTATTTTCAAATAATTTCAGACTTGCAGAAAATTTTAAAAATAGTGTAAATAGTTCCTATATTTGCCAATATTACTATATATAGTAATTCCTATGTATTTTTCCTACAGTCACCATGTGGTAATATTTTACCACATTACATTATCATTACACACACATGCACTTATGTATTTATTGTATATAATTATATATTATGTGTGTATAAGATATATACAATGTATGTGCACATATGTATATATGTAGAAAAGTGTGCATATATATGGCTGTATATGTATGATATATATGTAGATATGGGTGTGTAATATTTTGCTTGATGGTTTCTCATGATAAGAACCATACCACAGTAATGTCGCAGTAGTTATTCTGTGTTCTTAGGGCATCCTCTTAGGAGACTCATGATACCTACTTTTGCAAAATATTTTGATCACTTGTTCCATATATTTTTGCTGCTGTCTGCACTAATTTACTGTTTCCCTTTGTAATAGGTGTCTTTGGGGGAGGTACTTTGCCAATATGTAGATATCCTGTTTCTCATTAAACTTTGACTCCTTTATTTAATACCCATTGAATCTTGCTTAATAGTTTTGATAGTTGTTTCTGTTTGATAGTTGTTATGGTAGTTGCAAAATAGTGATATTCTAATTTTGTTATTCCATAGTTGGCATTTGAATATGAGGGGTTTTTTTTTCATTACATTTATTTTTGCATTTAAAGAAGTGCAGTATAAATTCATGGATTCTTTAATGCCTATAATTTATGACTCTTATTTCTTATTGTGATGCTGAAATTACCTCATTTAACCAGTGGTTGCCCCATCAAGTTAGCTATTGTGCTTTATGGACATCACTCCTACCTTTTATTTAGTACTTTCTTTCTAGCACGATGTTCTATGTTCATCTTGTTCCTAAAAGAGTGTTGGAATCACCATTTCCCCTGAGGATCCTGGTTCTTTTAAGTGGAGTAGGGGATTTTAAAACCAGATTTGGCATTAGGTATATAGTGTATTCATTTCATTGCTATCAGGATTTCTTTGGTTCTAGACTTTCTCAGTGGACAGGAATTAATGTGAATGTATTTAGGTGTAAATACACACACCTATTTATTGATATATTAAAAGCTACACAGCTATACTGATACTTCCAATTATAATCTGACAGCACATGTTTCATTCTAGCCTCCCATTTATAACATTTTGTCCATGAAAAACCTTGGGCTCTATTTTCTAGTACACATTCCTTATTTGCTTGTGTTTAGAAAGCACATGAAGTATTTTAAGAATTGTTGTAAGCGGTATCACTGCATGAAACAATTTACTATCTGGAGTTCAGCATTTAATATTTGTTTTGAGTATGAAATAAG